GAAGATGAAGTTGAGGGTATCATGGCTAAAAGACGTCGAATTGAGCGACCAAAAAAGTAGTGATGGTGAAGTCAGTTTAGGTTTTGTTAGGTTCTAAACCCTTAGGTTCCAAATTTAAAACCCAAGAATTAGTTTTCATATAATAAGTTCTAAACCTAAGTTAAAGCTAGTTTGGTTTAGAACCAAATTTTAAGATCTGGTTCTCAATATTTTGCAAGATAAATAAAAATATACTAAGAAGCTTTTCGAATATATATTCTGAATAACTTAATATGTTAAGGCCATGCAAAATTAATTAATTGGTTTCCATAACCCGGCCGGGTCAAAAAGCTGTATTCATAAATTCTGGGACACTTGACAAAAAACTGGCCGAATTATTTTTCGGCCGATTAAAATAAAACTAATGTAGAACTAATAATTTAAGAGTGTCTGACAAGAATTTCAACGAACCATTATCATCAACATTAAATGCACTAGGAACAACACTTAAGTCATATGTCATCCCCAAATCGGTGTCACTAAGTAGAGAAAGACGTTTTGTTTGAAAAGTACGTGAAGTCCGATTGATATTGGTTATTCTATTTAGATCCGGTTTCCATGACAGATCCATCGGAAGATCAATTGGAGGAGGAATTAAGTGTCGATATTTCAACCCGCACAAATAACTATAATCCGAGCGTACTTTTCTGTTTTGAACATTATGACTTTAAGACAATAAAAAAAAAGGAGAGTTAAATAAAGATATAAACCATGTAAGCAAAACACAATTTTAGAGATAGTTACTTAGGTCTTGCTGACATTGATCTAACTTTAGAAAATGAATAGAATGAATTTGATGATATTAAAAAGTTAATAACTCAAAATCGATATTCTTTTTGGATGTTCTTCAAATGTGATTGGCTGATGTCCAAATCTAGGATTCGGGAAATACAGAAATAAAATCGATATTATTTATTATTTTTTATTAAACATAAACAAGATTACACCTGAGTTCTGGCAATCTAAGCTCTAAATCGACTCTATCACGTGAAGTGAAACGCGATTTCTATAATTACGTACTACGTAAATGTTTTACAATGTATAAATAAGAATTCTGTAAGTGAAAATTTTGTTATGCTTGTTATGCTTAGCAAATAGCAAATAGCTGTACAATGGCCTCCGAAAGTATAACACGGTTACACGAAAAATGACATTATGCCGAGAACAAGGACAGCCTCTTTGCCAAGTTTTTTTTCTTATACGTATATATAGAAATAATTTAAATAATTTTGAGCGAGGTTTGCACAACTTTAGTTAATTAAGAGGTAAAGAAAAGAAAAGAAGTTGAAGGCACTGTTACTACAGTATATCGATAATTCATGTTAGGTTCGAGTACGTACGTAACCGTGAAATACCTTGGGAAGCCACTAAAACATTGCTGCATTAATTCATGATGTAAAATATCGTGTAACGTTTGTGCATAATCAGATGACGTATTAAATTAAATTATATAACATTATATAACCGATAAGTTTCTTTTTATCAGCATTATTTCCCACATCAATTCTGGCATACACGACATGACAACTTCAACAAAAAAATTTAGTAGTTTTCTTCCTAATGAAACCGATAAAATTAAACATTCCATTGCTGGTGCTGTTGCTGGCTGTGTCAGTTCTATTGTAACGTGTCCGTTGGATGTAGTCAAGACAAGGTTACAGAATCAGGGCAAAGTTACTAGTGATCAAAGGATACCCCCGTATCGTGGCACTGGAAGTACAGTTGTTTGAATTCAATAAAATTGAATTACTTAAGCTCCTAATTAAATTAATTAAAATTAATATATAATTAATTTATTTGACTTTTAAATATAGGAGCTCTAAAACGTATATGGATAGAAGAAGGAATTCGAGGACTGTATCGTGGTCTTGGACCAACGTTATACGGTTATCTCCCTACATGGGCTATTTATTTCAGCGCATATGATTATTTCAAATCTGCATTAGGAGAACGAACAGGTAAAATAAATTCATGATATAATTTATACAAGTGCGTACTAGTTGAGATCGCTATAAATTTATCTCGTATTTGATGACATATATAGTTGGATTATTGCATAATCAAGATAAAAAAGAGAGGATTATTTTCGTGACTTTTTTCGCGTAGAATTTTTAGGACAACCAAAAGATTATTTCTTTGTGGAAATTATCGTAGCATCCTAAATTCCTCAATGTTTTCTTAAATATAAAAAATGTACGCGAATATTGGTTAATTTATCAAAAGATTATTATTACGATTATTATTCTTTATTTTTACATTTATGATTCTTCCAGTTATTTTTTATTGCATAAAAAGTGGATTTCTAAAACTGATGAGAAATATTATTATCAACTTGTTCTTGAAACCAATTTTGCGCTAGGGCGAACCGC